AAACCCCCCCCCCCCCCCCTTCACCCTTCCCTTCCTGTCACCATTCCCTCTTAGGGCACTGGCTCGAGGACCAACAACAAGCACCCGCATCGAGGACATCGTCGTGGACCTGCTACGAGGACACATCATCCCTGGATGGATCGCGAAAGTGGCTGCGTTGCCGAGGCAACGGAAGGCAGGGATGACATGACCAGGAAGAATAGCTGGTCGAGTCGCCGGTGGGATGGATGCCCAGCCACCACCATCGCCACCAATATATGCAGCCCCGATGCAGTCCGGTCACACGGGCAGGAAAAAGTCCCGTGTGACAGTGGCGGAGCCCTCTCCCTCCGAAACCGCGGACGTGCCCGGGAGGAGTTTGACAGGCCTGGAGGTCGTCATATTGACCGTCACGCGCAGCCAGCACGCGCGCCGGCGAAGCCAGCACCGTGCCGTCGCCACGAGGCCCTGGAAGGTCCGGCAACTCAGCCGATCCGAAAAGGACCAATACCAATGCCGTGCCATGCCGAAACTGCCGACCAATGCCAAAGCGCGCAGCCCTCACAGCTGAGAAGCCCCACCCAATCAGCAAGGCCCTGGAGGCCCCCGAGGACCGGAAACACCGACGACTTCGAGACTTCGAGCCAAATCGCGGAAGCGTTAGCACGTACGTATTGCGAAAGAAAATAATAGAGAGTGAGTGAGTGTAGAGTAGAGAGTGAGTGAGTGAAGAGGATGAACGTGTGGATTACAGTGTGACGAGCGTGTCGAGTGAGTATCGTGTGATTGAATCTTCCCTATTTGCCATCCCTTCCCTAGCACCCCTTGTTATTTGCGCCGTAGAGCTTGTAGGTCCCTTCAGGACATCGTCAGCCGTCCCCACGTGGGCCGGCATTTCAGTAGTTCCTTTGGTATTTGCGACAGGTCTTCCGCCCACCAACTCGAGGCCCGTGGTGTATTGCGTGCGCCCTAATTTTTAGTATCTTGCGTCCCCTTTTTCCGAAAGCCCCGTACCCCCCCCCC